TAATATTTTTTCTCTCTTCAATATTCTTTCTTGCCTCCACCTTAGCTACTTCTTACATCACCAAAAAAAAATAAAACACTAATATAAAATCAAATATATCAAACATCTCGTTGTCAACTCTTTCACCTATTCCTCTTTTTTATGATTTTATCCGACGGGAGTGCGCACGTCCTGCGCCCCTGCCCAATTACGTTCGCGGACAACCGCCCCTTCGGGGAACAAATTTTTTTTCCCGGGAAAAAAAAGAAATTTAAAGGGAAACCGGCCTGGGACGCGGACAAAGGCGGGAGCGCCGCGGGTTGGGAACCCCGGAACCCGGGAAAAGAAAAAGCAGGAGACAAAGAAGAAAGCGAGAAGGGCCGCCCGGGGAAACCCCCGGGGAGGGGGCCGGGGCCCGGGCGCCCCCCCGCGGAGGGAAGGAGGGGGCCGGCCGGGGGGCCGGGGGACTTTTAAGCCCCGGTTCCGGGCCCCCGCTGCCCCGGGAGCCTTGCAAGGTTTTCCCCCAACCCCCTCTCCCCCGGGAGCGCGCAGGCGGGGTGGGGGAGGGGGACGGGCTTCTCCCTCCAGGTCCCATCCCAACACATCTGTGTTTGTTTTCTTTGCTGCGCTGAGGTCGGGCCTTCCTCTAACCCAGCCTTAGGGCCATGGTGGCACCGCGTACAGCTCCGTGCCCCTGTCGGGCAAACAGCCTGGGGTCATGAGGAAGAGGAGGATGTAACCTCTGCCTGCTCACTCCCCCTGCCCGAAGCCCATGGGGTCTGGCGAGAGGGGCTGCTCCTGTGCACCAGTCCCCCCCGCCCCCACACACACACCCACACACACTTCCTCCCACGGACACATAGTTGTCACTGTGAGGTTGGGCCTATCTGTCAGGCACGTGGCTTCTTTCATGCCGGGGGAGCCTAGGTGGGCAGTAGACTGAAGGGGAAAGAAGCAGGACAGCACCTGGGCACTGGCCAGCGCCCCTCTAGCCAGGTCTGCGGAGCCTCAGGTTGGGGGAAGCCAGCCCTGATAGGACTTCTTCCTGGCTCAAGTCTTGAAGGGTGCCATACCCTATGATAGGGCCTATACTACCTCATGGGAGTCCAATGGGAGCCCACAACAGCTTTACAAAGCATTTTTGCAAATGAAGACACTGAGGTCTCTCTCGGGAGGTGAAAAGACTTGCCCAGCTCTCCCAACTGGTAAACATCAAATCCTTCCTCTCCTCACATTTGTCAAGTGGATATTCCCACCCAGCTGTAGTCTCATGGGGCATTCTCGGGGCTGCCCAGCCTCTCCTTACCTCATGCTCTACCTTAACGAAAGGACTGAGGACAGTGACAGTCTCCTTTGACCATCTTGCCGCAGCCACCAAGAGCTGGGGAAAGAATGCACTGGGCTGGGAGTTTGGGACAACATTTCTGTTGCTTTATGTCACTAGTAACAGATCTGGATTGAAAGCCCAGGGTCCTGGTTCTGGCCTCACAGCTGACTTGCTGCATTAGCTCCATTAAGGGCCTCATTTTGTCTTCTTGGTATTTTCATAAACTCCGAGACTCTAAGAAGGGGCCTCAGGGCTCGCCTGGCCCAGCTCAGTCTCGGAAGAACCGCTTTCCCGCAGCGCCAGCCCCCCAAGCCAGCTCTTCCAGGCCTGGGATTTCACCCAGCCCGAGGAGCGACATCCGTTCCTTGGCAGGACAGCCTGGGCCCACCCTCTTTCTGGGGTAACACATTAGCTTTGCCTTCTTGTGCCACTACCACTGTGCACTGGTTACTTACAGCCTGACCTTATGGCTGAGAGGATTTCAGGTAACTTACAGGAAGACTTCAAACATGGCGAAATGGCATAAATCGGAAAGTGAGCTGAAAGGGGATAAAGGAGATGTTCAACCACTGTGGACTGTGAAATTCCGATGGCATGAGAGGCAGCATAGCCGTTAGGAGCCAGTGTGCCGCTGGCAAGTCTTGCAACTCTCTGTGCTTTAATTTTCTCACTTTCAAAAGGGGTACAACATTATCTACCTCATGGAGGTGTGAGCATCAAATGAGCTAACTTATAATATTATAGCTTATAATATGTATACATAGTGTACTTACATAATCTACATGGATATACTTCCACATATATGTGTATGTAAATATACACAAAACCAGGTACATCATAAGTAAGTGGATGTAGAAACGTTAGTTCTTACTATTAAATTGCTAGGTCTTTATGGAAATTTAAAACTAATAAGTAAATTTCATCTAAAAAATTATAAAATGAAAAAAAAGCAAATTACAAAACACTGAAGCCCAAAGCACACGTGCACAGTATCCTCTCGTTTTTTTTTTTTTAAATATGCATACAAAGATAGCATTGTTAACTGTGGTTATCTCTGGATAGTGAGATTAGAGGTGATTTTTATTTATGTTTGCTTCTATAGTCTCGATTTTGTGTAGTAAAATAAGAGGGAACGCTAAGAGAAAAAAGAAAAACCAAGAGGAAGGACCAAGTAGAGATGGGGATAGAGCTAAAATGCACCCTGGATGCCCTGTTCACCTCCCGGGGGTGGGCCACAAACTTGTCCCTAAGCTTCCCCACACCCCACCCTCCACCCCCAACAGCCAAAGTGAAAAGGAGACCATGTCAGTTACACAATTCCCAGTGTCCCAGAGATAAAAACAGACCTATTACTCAAGAGAATTACAACTAACTATTCTCGGTACTAAAATCAGACAGGAATTTCTCCTGGGGGGAGCCTCATACACAGAACCCAGTGTGAGGTGACAGCAAACACCCTCAACAACATCCCCCTCACAGTCACAGCAGTGAGCTCCGGGGGGCAGTGTTTGTGATGGTGGCCCACAATGTAAGCGGTTGGCAGCGCACCAGAACACAGGAAAAGACACACTGACAGGGAGGGGCTGAGAGAGGCAAATCAGAGTGCCCCACTCCCCACCCAGCCTACTCGGTCACCCAGTGCCCTCCAAGCCTTCCTTCGGCTGCTCTGTCTGCAGAGCTGCTGGTGGCCCTTGCGGGGCAGCAGGTTTGGCACATACTCCCTGGACTGCAGCTACAAGTGGCCTCTGAGCCTCGGCCAGTGGTCTTCCGGAGGGGCCTTGGGGGGAAAGCTTTCTGCTTTGCTTGTGGTCACTGAGGCCTAAGCTATCTTCTTTAGTAGTTCCTGGCGAGCTGGACTCTCACCTTGTACCATGAAGGCCTGGAACATTCTGGGACACAGTAGAACCTGTCTACCTCCATACAAACCCGCCTTCCTGTCACTTGTACAGTGGGTCCCATTCCAACGCCACCATTCTGCCTCTTCAAATGTTTGAAGTCAACCTATCGTCTTTCAGTTTTATGTCTTTTAGGCTAAACACTCCCAGTTCTTTCAAAGATTCCGGCGAGGACATTGTTTCCTGACTACTCTGCAGACTCTCCCGATGCCCTCTAATTTGTCAATGTCCATTCCTGAAGCATACTACCTTTTGAGGGGACAAATGAAAAAAACAGATGTCCAAGTGTTGTGAGAGCTTCTCAAAGTGGGGGTTATAAATACACGCCCGCAAAGGCTGTCAGGCGCGAAGCAGCAGGATCCACGGTTCAGGCTGGAGTTCAAAACACAACAATGGCTGTTGGGTGAGAAAGCAAATTCCCAGGTGTTTCTGCAAGGAATGTGTCTGGAGGGGGAGCTGCCCTTCTTGGCACCCAGCCGCACCTGAGGCCCAGGATCACCCCAGAAGAGGAGAATGAATGTGGCAGTTTCAAGAAAACTTCCAAGCAGCCAAAACAGAAGGAGGAAAACAGGAGAGTCGGGTGTCCTAGAAACCCACAGGCCAGTTCAGGGAAGCAGGGGCAGTGAGCAGTATCACATGCTTTCAAGGTCGAGATAAGATCTGAAAGGAGTCCTTTGGATTAAACTACAAGGAAGCCATTGGTGACCTTGACCGGCCGTGGCTGAGGAGTGGTAGGGACAGAAGCCAGACTGCCTCAGGTTCTGGAGTGAATGGGAGGTGAGAAAGTGGAAGATAGCGAGTGTAGGCACCTCTCAAGAAGTGTGAAAACAAGTGGTAGGAAAGAGAGACGGTGATAGCAGGAAGCTGACACGGGATTGAGGGGACATTGGGATTTTTTTACTGTTGTTTATAAGATAAGGCTGTTTAAACATGCCTA